TTCCATACAAATGTAGACGCCTTCCGTAGAAATCTAAAACTAATGCGCGCGCATAGTCCGGTAACTATGGTAACTTCAGTTGCTATATTATGCAAAATGGCGGCATGTAAACAGTGTACGCACGAATTTGCTCTTCCAAAATGCAATTTTTGTCCCAATGGCGGTCATAAAGCAACAAGTAAGATCGTACAAGCAATTGTAGTATATGACAAATGTTTGGTGTGATGTAAATGGACGCTATGTTGTTTTTAGTCACGAAAATCAAAACTCCACATGGGATACTATAAATCTATACTATGCTTGTGATGTTATTTTTTTTTAAAATTTATTTATTTTATTTTACAGATTTTGCCATTGAATACAAAACATACACTATATTACATAAAATTAATTACAAAATAGGTTACATGGCTGGAATTACCACACAGAGATTATTAGTTCGATCTCCAATAACGGGATTCCAAAACATTTAGGATACATGTATAAAAAACAATAACAGACATTACTCTGAGTGTATATCCACACACCGGGCAAGCTTGAAAATATGTAACATCACAAGCATCATTTATTTGAGTATTATATCACATATTCACCTGAGTACAATTACACCAACACAGAAAAATCATGCTATGTGAGATTACATTGATATCGAAGGAACTAGAATCCGGGTCGCGTAGCTCAGTTGGCAGAGTATTGGGCTAGTATTCCAAAGGTCGTAGGTTCGATTTCCATTTTCCACCGTGGTCAGGCATATTTTTCAAGCTTGCCCGGTGTGGATATACACTCAGAGTAACATGACAAGCGCCATAGTATAGATTTTATATAGTATCCCATGTGGAGTTTTGATTTCCGTAAAGCGTCCATTTACATCACACCAAACATTTGTCATATACTACAATTGCTTGTACGATCTTACTTGTTGCTTTATGACCGCCATTGGGACAAAAATTGCAATTTGGAAGAGCAGATTCGTGCGTACACTGTTTACATGCCGCCATTTTGCATAATATAGCAACTGAAGTTACCATAGTTACCGGACTATGCGCGCGCATTAGTTTTAGATTTCTACGGAAGGCGTCTACATTTGTATGGAAGGCATGCATAAAATTTCTACGGAAGGCGTCTACATTTGTATGGAAGGCATGCATAACATTTCTACGGAAGGCGTCTACATTTGTATGGAAAGCATGCATAATATTTCTACGGAAGGCGTCTACATTTGTATGGAAGGCATGTATAACATTTCCATGGAAGGCATCTACATTTGTACGGAAGAAGTCTACATTTGTACGGAAAGCGTCTATATTTCTGCGGAAGTCGTCTGAATTTTCTACGGAAACGCCGCACATTTATACAGAAACGCTCTGTTATTAAGGAAAACTACTTCAAGTAGACAGAACGAATGTGATTTTCTACGGAACAAGCGTGTCCCTAACGGGCCACCGTAGTATTGTACTATTTGTGTTTTTAAAACTTGTAAAGTGAAAAGTGTATTAAAACTTTTATATTAATTCGAACTGATATAGTTTTACATTTCATTTTACCAAATTTCTCAGCCATTTCCTGAACAAATTAATGCTAAACAGAAACTATTTTTAATTCTAAGTCTGGTAAAAAAGTCATTCCATCATTGTGTTTATATTCTAAGCAGAAATCGAGAAAAATAACTTTGTAATAAAGCAATAAAGTCGCACAGGAAGCCATTTTGAAAGCGTGCGTGTACAAGAAACACTGCAACACTAAACCGTAAACCGGTCGAAAACAGTTTTATTTCTGAATTTTAATTAAACTTATAGTTGGATAACTTGGATATTTTGTTTTATTCATTAAAAATTTATACTAAAACAATTATTCGCCTCAGGCTCGACTTCGTCTCGGTGAATATTCACCGGTAATCACTTCGCCTTCGGTGAATAATTGTTAAATATTTTGTAAATAAGTGTAATTTAGTTTATTAGTTCCTTCTTTTATAATGTATATGTATTTTCCGCACGGCCCTTTGAAAATCACCTATGTGAAAGGTTACCGTGTTTGAAGATCATTAATAATAATAATAATAATTTTTTAAACAACAGAAATCTTTATTAATAACATGATAATTTATACAAATATATCACATAATTAGACTTTCAATTAAATCAGGAAAATAGAGAAACAGTTCACTATATTAGACAGATAGGTCCATTCTCTACACTTTATATCAATAGTAGCTAATAAAAATTCAGTAAGTCTGGGTTATTCCACGGCTTGTTTCTTCTGCAGTAAATGTAGAATGTTGCTCTCAGAGCTACCTCCATACATTTTTTAATAATACGTTCGTCGTTCATTTCAAGTGTTCGTAATAATCTACGAAATCTGTCAATATCTTTCGACACAAAACCTAGAGTGGTTACTTCAAGTGTAATAACTTCAAACGCATAACACGCCGTGATCAGCTCAGATCTTAGATGTCTGTATCTTTCTTTCTTGCGACGTTTAGCCTTCGTAGCTCTTCGTACAATTGGTTTCGTAGGGAACAGTTAATTCAACCACATAATTATACAGAACCCTTAAAGTCCACCACTATATGAGGTCTTAGCGTTCGAAATAGAGTTGAAGTACAGGTCGTACCTGAATTAGGACAGTCCGCAAACAGTCGAAGATCTGCACCAACTGCAACTTTTAAGTGATGAATAATAGTCATCAGAATCGAGTCATGCCGCCAAGTATAGCGTTGTTGTTCTAGGGCTACCTTACACTTGGAAAAAACGTGTAGCTGGGTTTGTAACTTGTTGCACAGCTGACAGTTGGCGGAGTCACGAATGTTCCAGCACTTTAGGTTAGAATTATTTCCTAAACTTAAAATTAACGCTCTTAGACTCCTAGCAAAGCATACTATATTGCTGGGCATTCGAGTGACAATTTCGTGCCATACTTTAATCATCTTCTTATAGCAAGTATCAGTTAAGCAGGTAATGATCACGGATTGTTCTTTTAGTTCTACAAAGTTTGACCAAATTTCGTTAAGGTTTTTCTTTACCAGAATCTTCTTTGCAGCGTTTCTTAACATGTATTGTTCAGAGATACCAGCAGCCGCCCGTTCAATAATATCATCAGTGACGATGTTTTTTGATGACGTTTTGGTATATAGCTGTTGAATATCGGAGTTGACAGAAGTTCTCAAGATTCTGCGCACTGTTAGTTTACATTGATTATATATGTCAGAGGGGGAACAGAAATCAATTCCCAGTTGTAATTTAGGAAGCTTTAGATGACTAATGTTACCGCTGATTGGGATCTGGAGCCATTTCCGGATATATTTTGGAAATTATAGAATCCAGATTAGAATGTATCCAGCTTGTAGTGAGCGGGTAGATTGAAAAACGCCAGAAGAACTTTGAGTAGACATAACTTTGAACCACGCGTATTTTGGAAAAAGGATTTATTGGGATAAGATCAATTTTCTTTAAGTAGTGTTGGATTTCATCAAGGATCTCAATTTTGGTTTCAGTACAATCCATTTCAAAATTGAATTGCTTACCTAAATACATAAAACTTTCACCGTCCTCGATTGGGGGAACCTGTTGACCTGAGATTTTTATAGTAGGTTTATACTGGACTGCTTTTGTCCCAAACTTTTTGATCCCAAAAGTGTGGCACTTATTTACTCGGATATATAAGTCTGCCCATTTACTAAATGCATTACACAGTAGTTGATTGTCTTCGTTATGTGCAGATATAATTGCAGCATCGTCCGCAAATTGGAACCAATGACGAGGGTTTAAGGATATATCATTAACATAACCAAGGCACTGTATCCTTTCATAATTTATCGTGTTAATGAGTGAATTCACACATAAATTGAAAAGCAAGGGGGACAAACAGTCTCCCTGCAGTACGCCCCGTTCTACAGATATCGGTGTGGTTATAAAATTCTAATAATAATAATAATAATAATAATAATAATAATAATAATAATAATAATAATAATAATAATAATAATAATAATAATAATAATAATAATAATAATAATAATAACAATAATAATAATAATAATAATAATAATAATAATAATAATAATGAAAACTTTATTAATAGAACATTTATAGATATATACAATTGTAAATCTCACTTCTTGAGGTAACCTACAATTGACTACTTGAATCACTTATACATGCATGGTTATAATTTTATATACAAAAATTGCTACTTATTTATAGAAATAGTTACTTTAAATGTTCATTAGTTCGGGATTTGTCCATTCTTTATTTCTACAGCAAAATATGTAGTACGTTGATCGGATGGCAATAGATATAATTTTTCTGATACAATATTGTTGGTGTTGATTATCCAGTCCTAACTCATTTAGCATTTTTACGAATGTATGACATTCTTTGTCAAACACCCCTAGCGAACTGACAGAAAGATTTATAAATTTAACTAATGTAAAGTTTTGATCCGGTTCTCTAATTAGGTTTTTATATTTAGCTTTCTTGCGGTTAACATTGTTTGTGAGGTTTGATTCAAAGCCAAGGTAAGTTCAACAACGTAGAGGTGTTTGTCTGAAGTACAGACAAGTAAATCAGGACGATATATTCATCTCCCGTAATAATCGAGGGGCTTTCAAATCCAGGAAGATCAACATGTAATTTGCATTCGTTTAAACTTTGAAAAGTTTTTGCAAGAAAGTTTAGTATGCAATCGTGTCTCCAAGTAAATCGTTTCAAGTAATGTTGACAACCGGCAACAACGTGTAGAAGTGATTCAGGGTGTAAGCAGAACGAGCAGTCAGAACTTGATGAAATTCCCCATCTACTGAGGTTCTTTCGGGTAGGAAGGGTATTATTTATATAACGAATTGTAAAGTTGAAAATGTTCTTTGGTAGCTTTGATTGCGATACCGACCAGATTGCGTTAAGTTGTGACAGGGAGAATTTAGAAACATTTTCGAAAAAGGAACCTTGACATTTCAAATGGTTCCTAAGTTTATTTTCTTGTTGAGAATGGAAAGTTTTTAAAACTTCTTTAGTTGAGTTGTAGCTATCGTATTGAATGTTAGTATGATTATTAGTTGACTTCCACAGTTCGTTTATTGAATCGTTTGGAGATGTTTTTAGGGCATTGCGTAGAACTGTTTGACACTGAATGAATTTGACTGATGCAGGGAGGATATTTAGACCAAACTTATTATGGGTTAGAAAAACGTTACTCAGTGTTCCAGATATAGGTACTTCCAGCCATTTTCGGATGTACTTGTTCACCGAAGAATCGATATTTTCGACTACCCAAGTTTTAGATATCGTAGCAACAGTAAAATGCCAGGATAGCTTGGACAAAACATAACGACTGTAAAGTAAAATTTTGTTTTTTGGGTGAAGAGGTTTAAGATCTATTTCGGACATTAGTTCATCAATGAGGGAAATCACTTAATAATAATAATAATAATAATAATGGAAACTTTTTATTAGATATTTACGATATACTATATATACATTGATAAACCTCACTTAATAAAAGGTAGCTTATCAATGTCCACTTGAATTGAGTTTAAAGCTAAAATATATATACAGGTGAAAATCTTTTAAATTTAGTTAAAAGTGTAAAAGTTCTGGGTTGTTCCAGTCTTTGTTTCGTCTACAGAATATATAATACGACGTGCGAATACAAGTAGCAATTATTTTCTTTTTTACATATTTAATACATTGTTCGTCGTACTTCAGATCATGGAGCATATCAAATAAAGTATTCGTCGATTCACCAAATACACCTAAAGAGCTTATAGATACATTAACAAACTTAACTTCATCATATATATTTTCTTGATCGGTAATTAGAGTCAAATATTTTTCATGTTTTCGATCTGAGTTAGTTTTCAGGTTTGTTTCGAATCCAACAGTTAATTCTAGAATGTACCAAAATCTTATTTTCAATTGTCAATAGAAGGTCTGGTCGTAACTCGTCACCATAATAATAATAATAATAATAATAATAATAATAATAATAATAATAATAATAATAATAATAATAATAATAATAATAATAATAATAATAATAATAATAATAATAATAATAATAATAATAATAATAATAATAATAATAATAAAAATAATAATAATAAAAGCAAGTTATAAATAAACTATATAAATTTGATTCGAAATACATAAAAAAAAATCCATTCTACTCCGGATACAATGTTACTTATAATTAGCACAACTTTCCCAGATATATAACTTTTCCAAATTATCATGAATTAACGCGAAATAACTGCAGCCACTTTGAAAATAATATAAACAAAAATCAAACGTTCTCTGTTTAAATATAATGTAACACTTCAACTTCTGATGGAGTGAACCATGCGCTCCCTCCAAGAAGGGATCTTGTGTTGTCTTCATTGTAAGTATATCCAAGTGGAGCTTGGTAGGTGCGACCCAAAGTTGCGTAGGAATCTGGAGGATTTAACGTATCGTGGACAATTCTCAAGTCCCTGCCCGTACCAAAGGTTGGCCCATAATACATTTTACGGTAAATTGCATCCTCGTCATTCTCATCTTTCAGCGGAGCCTTGAAAGGAGCAAGGTTGTCATTATTACGAAGAGCGAAGATAAAGGATCCTGAAGCGGATGTATAACCATCTGCCAAAAATAAACAAAACAATCTGAGGTTGTGTGATTATTTATGAATGATAAAATATTTCGTGATGAATCTTTTGGGTAAGCGACTGTTTTATAATGTACATTAAGTCAAACGCGCAACTGGTTTACCACAGTAGCCTTAATTCACGCATATTTTTCAATAGATTCATCAAATAAATGACATTAAGAATTGAGCGGAGTGGTCTTTGTCTGTTTAGGGGGTCTGAACCCTAGCTTGGGATATGCTAATGAGATTTGCATCCCTACTCCATAAAGCCCGGCACTCTGATTCCCCTCTTTAGTCAGTAGAAACGCTTCCGTCACCCGTCATCCTTCGTTTGGTCGGTTGGTTGGGTGAGTGTTATCCCCCATCCCTTGTGTGTTGTACGTTGTTGTGCTGCTACGGCAATCGCGAGACGTCGTTCCCCCTAGTATGTTTTATGTCGTCAGTCGGCCGCCCGTCTACTCTGCGTTTAGTTCGATTTTCCGTCGGTTAGGCATCGTTTCGCCCCTGTCGGTCTCATCGCGATGGATGAGCAATCATTCGTGATCATGACCGTCGTTCTTCTGGCCCATCCCTCTTCCCCTTCTCGTAACTGCGACTATTACAGTTGCCCTTTCGTACATTAATTTATTACTACAGTTTTCATGTTTATCTCGTTTCGGGGCAGAATTTGCTCATCTTCTCCGGAAGTGTCAATGTAGTAGTATAGGGGAGAGGTAGTGTTCTCGGCACTCGAGAACAGCAATAATATGTATATATAGTGACTCAGGTAATTCGCCAATACACAAGGCCCATGCATGGTCATGAAATACTACGATCGACCCACGTTCATGGCCTCCATCGAATTACCTCTTCAACGGCATGACAATCCTCTTAAACTCCGGGCAATCGTGTGACGGAACGAAATTGTTAAAACTCTTTGTAAAGAGTATGTAAGAAATCAATCATGCATAAAAGCAGTCGCGCACGTGATGAATTATGCGTGAATGGCTACTGTGGCAATATAGTCCAAGTTTTATAGAGGTCACACGTAGGACAAATTGTCTGACATTTTGATAGTTCAAAAAACACCTTCCAAATTGCACCCTATGAATTGAAGTTACGTTTGGAAAACAGCCATGCATGCGCATGCAGAACTCTTTTGTGTGATAGAGATACCAGAAGACCTCAAAGTACCCATACTAATACAGTAATATGAATTTGCCACAACGTTTGCGAATTTTCAGTTTATGGTGGGGTACAGACCAGGCAAACTCGGTTTTGGGCGTGGGAGGGTTTTCTGTGGGCATGTTTCCCCAGAAAATGTCGACGTCTAGAGTCTGTTAAGTTCTGGTTTCAAACCACGTAACGGGAAATAAAATAAACATTAAGGTTGCATTTCAGACAACGTAGAATATTATGTTCTCCCACTCTAATCTCTAGTGCGGGCTTTGTTCGTCCCAGTTTTACCCTCGGTTCCTCACCCCAGTACGTAAGTGATTTGTGAAGAAAATAGGGATGACCTGCCCCAGAAAATGTTAATACCGACGTTTGGTGCTCAATGACTGTATTTCTGGAATTTTCTGGAGCATCCACTATAGGGAAACCACAAATACATTTTAAGGTGATGTTTTGTACTTTCGATAACTTGGTAACTGCACATTGGTGTTTTAACTGAACTGCACAAATGGGTTTGGAACTGTAGATTTTGTGCAGAACTGTACCCTAATATGTTCATGTTAGCCACGACTTTACTGAAATTTTCAATCGAGGTGGATGCACGATCGAGAGAGTATGGTAGAACCAAGGCCGATGATTGGTTTGGTTTGGAGTTCTTACAGCTGATAGACCTTATGTATAATGACGTCACAAGGCTTGATGCCCCCGATGAATGCTGATCTTCGTATCGCCGCCCGAGAAAATTTCAATAGTGGCTATTTTGAATTGTTTAATTTTCCCAGGCGATGACTACTAGGACCAGCATTCCTCGCGGGCATCCAGGCTTGTGACGTCATTATGCATAAGGTCTATTGCGACCCTGAGTTCGGCGAATAAAACGCAACGTCAATCAAGACGTGATCATCAACTTAATAGAATTTTACTCCAAGAAAAAGGGATAGTGGAATGGCAGACCAAAAATTACTATAGCTGTTTAGTTTCGGTAATATTTTTTAAAGTTTACACATATATGAAGGGAAAATATGTTTCCATACAGCAATTAAGTGGCGTAGCTAGCCCCACAATTTAGTCCCGCTATGCAAATTCAAAATTATTATAGAAATTGATTGTTTTCACAGTCAATGAACACGAAAATATTTGCATAGCGGGACTAAATCGTCGGGCTGGCTACGCTACAGTGATACACCTAGATGAGTAACCCACGGGCCTGCATGATAGGAATAATGTACACAAGTATATATAAATATTTTCAATCTTACCATCACAGCCCATGTTTTCGTGGCATATCCACCAAAAATCAAATTTTTCGAATTCTTGACAACTTTAACGATTGTCAGAGTAGGAACTTTGCCATCGCATTTAGTGTGGAATGTTGTGGCTGCCCAACCATCTCTCGTTGCTCGCCAACAAACACTCCAGTTCCTGTCGTGTGGCAACCATTCTGCCAGGAATTTTGTAAAGTTCTGTGGCTCTGACGACAAGATTTCCGAGACCAAAACATGACCTTAGTGTATTGTTTAAGAAAAGAAAGGAATATCTAGTTCTATCTGGAATATATTTATATATATATATATATATATATATATATGTGTATATTAGGGGTGTACTGGAAATTGGTTCCTGCCGGTTAGTTCCGGCCGGAACCCCGATTTTTCAGAGTTCCGGTTCCGGCAGGAACTAATATAAAAACATGGCTGGAACCAATCTCGTACCCAGAGCAATGCCTGTGCGCGGGTTAGGATGGCATTGGCTCTGGGGAAATTGACAACCGGAACCCCTAAATTTAGGGGTTCCGGTTTTTTGTCGGCATGCACGATTGACAAACGTTAAACCAATCACAGCACAGGAAAAATTCAATTTACCCAGAGCCAATGCCATCCTAGCCCGCGCACAGGCATTGCTCTGGGTACGAGATTGGGCTGGAACTGGAACATTGTCGTTTTCAGAAAGATAGAATATCAACTTTAGTTATTGAATAGTGTAAGAAGAAATTTGGACTACACAAGAAAAATGTGCACTATTAACACTTAACATTAACATTAACACTCGTAGCTGTTCCTGCATGTTAGCTCTAAATAAATGTACCGTATAAAAAATTACACTCGAAATTTTCGTCTATAAAACCCTTCAACCTTAGTCCAATCGAGTGTGATGCCCAAAACAGTCCTGATATTTACCCCCATATACATTTTTAGATCTAACCGGGGTCAGCTGCGAATAATATACAACTGTAGGCCATCTGACAGGAATCGAACTTGCGGCGGAATCAATTCAAAAATCCTTCAACATTTAGTTTTATCGAGTAAGATTCATGTTTGATGATTACACGACATCTTACCCTTTTCACAATATTCTCCTTCATATCCCTTCTGACATAGACAGGAGAATGGTTTAACTGGATCCCAAATCATTGTTCCACCATTGTGGCATTCATTCACTTCTCCTCCAAAGGATGCCAGGAAAATAACACATTGCGTTCAAATGTTCTTGATTCGCAATGGAAGTTTTTTTACTTTTATATAATTATGAACTA